TCTTTAATTAATCGATTAATAGAGGTATATTACTAATAACTTATTATATTTTAAATACTTTTATAAGCTTATAAGTACTTAATTTATATATTTATTTTCTTCTTTACTAGTTCTAACTTCTTCTTTTTAGTTAGGGAATATAATTACTAAATATAATATTCTTCCTAAGAATATCTATAACTTCGATAAAAAAGGCTTCCTTATTAGAATTAGATATACTAGTAAGTAAATAATCTCTATCTAATCTTTAAAGAATAAGAGAATAGCTTTAATTTATAATAGAAACTACGAATTTATCTCTCTTCTTACTACTATCTCTATAGATAGTAAAAAGCTCCCTCCTATACTTATTTATAAGGGTAAAGGTAATATCTAAGATATATAGCTTAATAACTTCAATCTAAAAGAGTAAGTAGCTTATTTTATAGCCTCTCTAAATAGATAGAGTAGTAATAACTATAGCTAGAAATAGTTAAAGAAGATATTCAATAAATATACGAAGGAGAAGATAGATAGAAAAAGAAGACTTCTTATTCTTAATAGTTACTTCTCCTATATTAACCTATAATTTATTAACTATACTAATCGAAACTATATTCTCCTAGCTATTCTTCCTCCTTATTCTACCTATTAATTATAACTACTAGATATTAGAGTATTCATACTTTTAGCTACTAAATACTTCTAGAAAATAAATAATCTAGTATATAGTAGCTTTAGGTATCTATCTATTCGAAAGTAAGACTTCTAGAGCTTATTCTATTTAGTATAGTATAAAGCTCTTACTTCTTTAAATATTAAGGTAGCTTTTAAAGCTATAGGTATCTATCCCCTTTAACTAAATAAAATACTATAAATATTTGATAAAGAATAGCCTTATATACTAATTATCCTAGTAAATACTCCTATTAATATTACTACTTCTCTTTTTTCTCGAGTTTATTACTAAATAATATAGAAAATCGAGTTATTAAAGACTTTATCTAATAAATACTATATTTAAAAGGTTATTTATACTAATAAGTAGACATAAGAATAGACAGTACTCAACCTATAGGTAAATAGGTGGGTGTGGGTTTTGCCTATAATAGGTAGCTAGCGAGGGTAGTAAGTGGGTAGTAGGTAGATTTAAAAATTTAAGTAGATAGATAAGCTACCTATAAAATCTATCTATAAAGTTTAATATCTCTATAGTTAAAATATAAATCTTATAAATATAAGAATTAGTAATATAATATACTATTAAAAACTATTTAGAATATTATTTACTAATATATAAAGATTTAATCTAAAAAATATAAAATTTAATTTAATCTCTTAATTATAAGATTTTAAAAGTATATAGAATATAGTTATTATATATAATATATAAATTTATAATATTATAAATATAATATATAGAAAATATAAAAAATATAATTAAAATATATATAATAAAAAGGAATTAATAATAAAGCTAGTATTATTACTAAATATAGGAGTAAAGTATAATAGAAAAGAATATTAGAATTAGGTAAATAAATACTAAATTAGTATTTATTTATTATAGTAATATACTTAAGTATTAAAAGAGGTTAGCTTATATCTATTTTCCTCTTCTTTATTAATAGGTATAGTTAATTAATAATAGGGAAGTAGATCCTTAATATTACTAATATACTTCTTATTTAAGAACTCTATAATAGTAGATTCTATTACTTAATTAAGGCGCTATATATAATAAAGGGATACTATAGGAGAAGAGTTTTTAGCCTTAGAGAGATTATTAGTAATAAGCCTATCTCTATTAAGGTAGTTACTAATAAGCTCTACTATAATAGCTTAAATAGTTTAGAGATTAAATTTAGTATAGTAAAAGTAGTTTATATTATAAGTAATATTAAATAACTACTTTATATCTATAGTAGAGAATAGAATTATTAGAATATTATAAGCTATTATAGAAAGAATTAGAAAGTACTTAGAGTTTACTTTCTAGTATTTAAAGATTAATATATTTTAGATAGTTCCTAAATTTTATATATATTAGAATATATAAATATTATATTTAGGAGAATTATAATATTTTATCTTTATTAAAATACTTTATAACTTTACTAAAAATAATAGCTTCTTAAAATTTACTTTATAGATTTTTCTATTTTTTTAATACGAAGCCCTTATTATATAAATATTTAAAAAGAGTTTAGTAATATATATATTTAAGTATAATAATATTTAAATATTATATCTAATAATAAGAGAAGATATTTTTAAAGTATTATTAATACTCTTATATTTAGTTAATATCTACTTTAAGTAACTTATCCCCTAGATTCTTAGCTTTTTCTCTCTATAAGGCCTTATTAAAAGTTTAGAGCTTTAATTTTAGATTAAAAATAGTAGCTATTATATAGAGATATCCTTAAGCTTTATTTATTTAAGTATAGTATATTAATAGCTTTTTATATATAGCTCTAATTCTAATATATAATATTACCTTCTATAGAATATATTTAATTTTAAGTTTCTTAATAGAGATATTTAAATAATTATAGAAGTA